ACGTGGGAAAACTGCATGCTGTACAGTTAGCCTTACCGATATAACCAGCAATGTCTTTAAACTCTGGCTTGTTGGCAATAAGCTCCTCTTTAGTTGGAATATTGATACCCATGTAGCAGGGGAACTTGATAGGCGGAGACGCCACCCTGATATGGACCTAAAAGCAGATGTTTATATCACTTTTTATGATGGAGGCAGGAATTGCTGTGAAACATTAGAAGAGCTATCCAGACAGAAGGTGATTTTTTTCTCAAAATATAAGCAGCTCCCATCAATAACTTATTGGTTTTGTCTATGACATATAATTCAGCCTGCATGTTATTTCTAGTTTTTACATTTGATAATTAACGTAGCAGGTTATGTCTATCAAATCTGAAAATCCTTCAAGAGTTGTGTTGTAAAGTTGGGAAACCCAGCATTCAAACTGCGTTATATTTAATATGTTTAAATAAAAAAAAATGTAACTAATTATCTCACAATGGAGAAATGAACTCTGTATGTATCATGCAGAAGGCCACCACTAGGCCACCACTCCCATAAGATCAGAAACTTCTTTAGAGATCGGCCCTCAAAGTTTATTTTTAATTCATCCGTCTAACCAACCACTGATGTGCTGTCAACTTCTAAGGAGTTGATTACAATAATAAAGAAAAACAATAATATATGGCAAACTGATGGAAGTGCAGTGCATGTGCCTTACATGATCTCAAGGTATGCCCTTGGATTGTGTTAATACATCTGAAAATATGCTGATAGTGTTGCATGAAAAAGACCTGCAAATATTGTCCAAAAGATTTCTGTCCAGCTCTTATTGTGAAAGGGTTTAAGTCTAGTTGTCTCAGTTAATCTGCTGCATCATGCTATTCGGCAAATAAATCAGTCGGCTATCTGAATTTTGAGGTTATACTGAGTGTCTATACTGTGTAAACTCAACTATGATCGAAACAATCTGATTAATCAATTCTTAAAATAATCAAGTATTTTAATAAGGATAATTTGTTAGAGACACTAAAACATGCCTTTAGTTGACAGAGCGACCCACTTAGAGCAGTAATTATGCCAAAATTGCACAAAAAAAAACAAATATTTTGTATTTAAGATTTAATTTTTTTTATTATTGTTAATATGCTCTACCCAGAACTCCACTTGGTTGGTTGCTTGACTACTCTCAACCCGGCCCTCTTCAGGATTATAACCTTAAAAAAAAACCCTGAATTTTAGGCCTTTTTTTTCTTTTATATAAAAAACATATATATATATATATATATACACACACACAGTCTGCACCATCAACACCAAGTCAAATTCCTTGTAAGTGCAAACCAATTGGCAATAAACCTGATTCTGATTTGTTGCTTCTTCTGTTTGTTTGTTTTTTTGTTGTTGTGGGAAATAACTGTTCATCTTTTTTTCTGTGCTTTAGCTCTGGATACGGAAGTTTGGCATAATTTTTATTTGCCTTTATTAACCCATGGAAAACCAGGAAAGCTTGTGCTTAAGGGAAGAAAACTATCAGGAGAGATTCAAAGTAACACTCATAACCTCTGGGAGGAAAAATGGTTATTATGGTTTCTTCAGGGAATAAAAACTGTTCTTACCTGTTATTCAGATACTAAATGTCTTTGTCATGCAAAAGTTTATATTCAAAAAGGTTTTTCTTGAAAATAAGAATTTCAGAGGCTGGCGAAAACCTGATAAAGTTCATAAAGCTAATTGGTATAAACAGGAGATAAAAAGCTTGAATCATAGCAGAGCTATTTTTCCTGTAATTTCTATCCTCAAAATGAGGAGCCCAATATAACCCAGAGACTAGATCACATCTCAGCAGGTGCTTCAACTGAAGGAAACCCACCTCTGTTGCTCCCGCTTCCCGCAGCAGCTTAATAATGGGGGAGATGGTGTTGCCTCTGACAATGGAGTCATCAATAAGCACCACCCGTTTCCCTGCAAAGTTGTCAGTCAGCACCCCAAACTTCTTGGCGACCCCAAGCTGCCTCAGACGGGTATTTGGTTGAATAAATGTTCTTCCAACATAGCGGTTCTTGCATAGAACCTCCATGTATGGGAGGCCAGCCTGAGAGAAGGACAACAGCTGTGATTGGCATGCTGGGTAGCCGATGTGTCTCTGGGCAGACAGGAGGACTTACCTGCAGAGCGTAGCCTAGAGCAGCAGGGGTCGCAGACTCTGGCACTGTGCTGACCAGATCCACATCTGTTGGAGCCTCTATGGCTAACTGCCGACCACAGCGCTGCCTCACACTGTACACCATCTGCCCTGGAGCACATTTACGTTCATTTTTTACTACAGTGAAGCCTCATGGTTAAAATTCAATTAAAGGGATCTGAAATATGCAATAATATTTATACCTTCAAAAATGGAGTCTGGTCTGGCAAAATAAACGTATTCAAAGATGCAGAAAGCAGGCAGGTCTCCTTCAGGGCGGGGAACAACACTCAGAGACTTGACTCCATGCCTGGATAGCTGAACTATTTCCCCTGGTAAGACCTCTCTGTAATATCTACGGTGGATGTGATAACGTTAGACACGCAAAGCATTACAGGTTAGTTTTAAAGAAACACCAAAATGTTTTACTTTGCTCCGATGGACTGGAAGCTGCAGGACTCTGAGGACACAACCCAACCTTCAGTGTCCTCCTCCTCTGCACCTAATCAGGGAACAGAGATCCCAGTTAATTATCCACCAGCAGCTATCTGATCTGTGACCTTAAAGAGCCAGTTTTTCTGAGCACTTGTGAAACTTCATCTTTCTCAGAAAGTTAATTTGTTCAAACCATAGAGAAAATAAATAAAAAGCATCTCAACTTGTTCTGATCAGATGTTTTCCCGCATCAGAAATCTAAACTACCAGAACAGGTCAGAGTTTTTCTTCAGCTGCAGTCCTTCACTTTTCCAAGTTTTCACAATCATGGTCCTCCAGATCTGCTGTGATAGATGCAACCCTGCCCTAACTAGGGCTGGGTATTGTTCAAAAATTTTCGGTGCTGCTACCAATACCGATACCTTCACTTCGATACCGGTTCCTGAACTATACTTTTTTTGATACCAGTTTTATAATATCAATTCGAAGAAAAAGAAAATTACACAACATAAAAAAGTACAAATCTTGAGTTTTATCTTAAGCTCTGATTTTTCCATTTACACAAAAAAAAAAAATGTCAGTGTCTAATATTTTCTCCTGAGAAAGCAGACATTAACAAGTCTGCTTTCTCAGGAGACCAACAAGCCCGTTGAATGGGATCCTACTGACAGCGAACCGCTGGTATGTGGGGGTCTGAGCGGCTCAGACTGAAATATTGGAAGGCAGGATGAACTGACTGAACTGATTAGGTTTTCAGGTGGATTTTCCCACTTAAAAACATAATAAAACTACTTTATTCCCACTGATCACAGCAAATATAGCTGCGTCAGAGCCACTTTTCGACCGCGCAGCCAGAGCAGCAAAGCTGCGCGTCAGAAACTGGTACAAGCAGCAAAAAGGAAGCAGCAGACGCGATTTTGCTGCTCTTGCTGCGTCCTGTGTGAAAGCAGCATGATTCACTCCGCTCTGGCTTTGCACAGCCCACGGGCTGCTGAGAGGAGGATGGTTGCGCCGGCTGTGGTCCGCTCTTCTTGCAGTCAAACACGGAGCAACTTTCTGCGCTTAAATTGTTTCCGTGCACTATTAGCATCAGTGTTAATGAAGTGAAGCCACACTTTTGACCTGGGGGGGCATTTTAAAGGGGTTCCACGACGCTCGCAACCAGTTCACAACAGATACACATGAACCCTGGCTGTAGGCCTGACCACCTGTGTATTTTTCCTGGATGACGCAATCACGTTAAGTGTTACAGCCAATCACCGAAACGTGGTAACGAAAGACGAGGCATGTTTCGATACTCTGTAGAACCGAAGCATTTCTGTCGGTACCATAAAATAACCAAAGTTCGGTACCCAGCCCTAGCTCTAACACACATGAATTACCACCTTAGCATGCCATTAAGTTTGGCAAAGGTCTATTAACGAACCAGTCATTTCATTCAGATATGTTGGAGCAGGTATGCGTCTATAACCTGCAGCACAATAGATCATGCATGGCTGGAAACCCCTGATCTACAATGTTCCATATGAGCGCAAACAAACAGAAAAAACTGTTTAAATACCTGGACTGTGGAGCCTGGAGATGGGAACAAGCTTTCCGATGCAGAGGGGCCGGTTCCCATAAGGATCTCGCACTGCGTAGATGACATCTTTGAACATGACCAGCAGTGAGTATGAGGTGGTCGTTTCCGACATGAGGTTTTTAATTCTGTCATCAAAGACATCACATTTAAGACAGGAGATCATGTCAAAAGGGTGTAAGTACATTTGGCCAGCATCCTGAGTTAGTAGTTACCTAGCAACCCAGTCAGGTGTGTCCAGCTCCTCCATGGGCGGGGTCAGCGCCAGCAGGTGGGTGATGAGCTCACTGTCTGAGCAAGTGGAAAGGCCGACGCCATGGCGCATCACCTGTATGACAAAGTGTAAAACAGGGACTTTAGAGGTTAACGTTTTGGAGAGGAAGCTATTTTTATGCAGTGAGAAAAACCAGAGGACTCAGCTTTAAATGACGGACTGTTCGGCCAGTTTTAAATCAATACACGTCTTCTTGCATGTGAATTCTCTCAGTGATCCGGCCAACAAAAGCACTTACTACTGATCATCTACATATGAATTCAGACCTGCAGGATGGCATCCCTAACCCCCAACAACTTCTACCTCAGTAGCTTTTTGTGAAGAAAGGACAAAACCTGTTCGACCACAAAACATGAATCTAGTCGTTTTGCTTTGAGAAACCCTGCAGAGCTTGCCATTTAAAAAGTTACATCACTTTAACCTGCATCAAAAAGAAAAGAAAAAGCAATTGACTTAGCTTTTTCTTTTAAGAAATTATTTGCAAAGTGATGTGGTCTGATTGTTTAGCCTTGCAAAGATCCACACCCCCCTGTTTTATTAAACAAGATATCTCAACACAAGATTAAAATCCATCAAATGCTGACATCCAATTTGGTACATCTGCTGTAGTATTTTATCTGTAAAACCATAGATAGGTTTTTTTTCTGGACTTTGCTTGCTCAGACATCTAAATCCAGACAGGATGGTTACTGAACGAGTCTGGATATTCTTGTGTGCATTGATTAAAGTAGCCACAAGGGGTTGTGAGTATGGTGCATTGCACTGGACTCTTCTTATAAAATGAGCAAGAACAGAGCGTAGAACATTGTGTGACTTGAGTGGAGTGGAATGCATCAAATAATCAACATTTAATGGTATGGAAATGTGTTCAAGGATATGACTGCATACGGTCATGTAAAACAAAGAGCTGCAGAGAGAGCAAGAAAAGCTCTGATTCCCACTGCAGAAGAGGTAGTGTGTATATATGCTTTACAAATGAAAAGAACTGCTTCTCTAAGTAAATTTGAACATTAACTCCAGTGGTTACTTCCCACTAATCCAGGCTGAGCCTACTTTGTTTTATTTTTGTCCAATAAATTTAGTGTTTAAAAAAGTATGCCCTTTGTGTTTTTATTTAATAATACTGTTATAGAGCTTTATAAACTATGGATAGTGTGGCTCAAACCTTTTTTAAGTATATCTTGTTTGACAATATGAGTGAGAATTAATTAATTCAACTTTGACCCAAGCCTGATCTCCCAATCCTGCAATATTTATAGAAAAATTCACATAATTAGGATTTTTTTTCACACGTTTTTTTGGAATATCCTGGATGATTAAGAATATTCACCATTATTTTTATTCATAATAGGCTTCGTATAAGAGGCGTCATCTTCGTTCTTTAATATTATACACAGATTAGTTGTAGTCTTAAACATAAAATCTCAAAAGACCTCATTGAAGTTTATAAATTGAGAAAAGGGCAGGGCTATGAATATTTTGAACAGAAACAGAAAACAAACGTTTAAAAAAGTCTTTGGAAAAAGGGGTGCTTAGATGCAACACACATTGTCAACATAAGCAGGGGGTGGAAGGGGGTCATCCTCACCTTTTTTCGCAAGGCACGGGAATTAACCAGCTCTCCATTGTGTGCCACAGCAATCCTGCCATGCAGCGTATCCACAACAAAGGGCTGGCAGTTCTGCAGCTCTGAGATCCCTGTCGTTGAATAGCGTGTGTGACAGATGCCAAGGTTACCGTAGCGCAGTTTAAGCAGAGCCTCTGGTGGGAAAGCCGTGCTCACTAATCCCATGCCCTGAGAAATGCAAAGAGGGATCATTGTTTGCACAAATTGAAAACAAATTACCGGTGTGATGTCATTAGTGGAAAAATTACAAGACACCAAGTGTGAACAGGGAGGCCTGAACAGCTGGTAAAATTAATCTGTATGAAGCTTGATGCATGTGTGTCTCATCACCTTGTGGCTTGTGTATACTGGGGGACTTGCTCCATCACTTGTGACTATCCCTGCACTTTCCTGACCTCTAAAAAAACAAACAAACAAAAAATAGTGTTAAGATAGAGTCACGATTAAAGACTGTAACATGACCAGACATGCTCTAGTCCCCTCGGTATTTCAGCTCTGATAATGTGCCTTGAGGCAAATCAAACCAGAAAAAAAGGAGCTGAAGCCAGAGAGAAAAAAAACAAAAAACAAAAGAGCTGCTCAGATGAGGAGCAGCCATTTGTAGAGAGTCGCCTTGCTGTAGTTTCAGTCCATTTACCAAGCTGCTTCTCAGATAACACTTGATCCCACCCCCTCTGCACACAGCTTAAGCCAGTGGTAAGGCTGCTTTTCAGCATGTAGGCGTTGCTTTTAGGCTTAACCGCCTGGTTGCCTAGGGAACCAGCATGCAGAGAAAGAAGGGGCCGAGGAAACGAAAACGTTTCCAGGTCAGCTCAAACATGGAGAGGCAGGCAGAGAGACAAAGAAGGGAAGACAGGGAGGTGGTGGAGGAGAAAGGCTCGATGGAGAGGCTGTGGGGGGAGGAAGAGGTGCTGGCTCTCGTGTCAGTGTGGAATGAGGCTGGAGCCCAGCATGGAGCAGAGAGCAGGGCCACGTTTGAGCTGATTTCAGAGCGGCTGAGGCGGCTCAGCGTTGTGCGCAGCTGGAGGGAGTGTCAGGCTAAGAGCAGGAGTCTGGGACTACAGAGCAGCAGGGCTGATGCAGCAGCAGGCACGTCTGCTAGCTATGGCCTGGAACTGGAAGGAAAGCCAGTGGAGAACACCTTCCTTTCCTCAGTCTCAGTTCCCATGAATGAAGGTAAAATCTAGGTTTAATGCAAACCATAGCACAGCTTCAAACATTCAGATTTGATAAACAAGCAAAAAAAAAAAAAAAAAGGTTTTTAATGTTTTTTTTTGCTTGCTTGCTCTAAAAACTGATGTAATTTCCAAAACAAAGACCAAATCGTTTGCATTCCAGCAGGAACAATAGCTCGAATGCGTACCAGTCTTCCCCTCACACCGAACGTGAGTGAAGAAGGAGGGCGCCACTGGACGGACGAAGAGGTGAGGGCTCTGCTGTGTGTTTGGGCTGACCAGAGTGTGCGGGAGCGCCTGAGGAGCACACTGCGAAACAAGTGCATCTTCCAGGAGATGGCCCGCCAGATGCAGAGAAAGTTTGGGGTGGTACGCAACTGGAAGCAGTGTCGGACCAAATACAAGAATCTGAAATACGACTACAAGACAGCCAAAAATGCTCACGCCGCTGCAGGCAGCAGTGCAGGAGGTCCTGGGAGGTACATGAAGTTTTTTGAAGAAGTGGAAGCCATCTTGCTCAACAAGGGACTGGAAAATGGGACTGAGGAGATGCAGAAGAGGCTTTATAATGGAGACACAAAGGCAGGACAGATGCAGACACCACCGGGAAACACAAGAGTGATGACCGCATCAGACAACGAGATCATCATTGAAATCGAAGATGGTAGATATTTCTTCTATCACACATCACCGTTTAAATTCCAGAGAATTAATTTTTCTCTATTCTTCTTCAGATGACAACAGTGATGACTATGATATTGATGGAGACGTGGAAGGCCAATGGAAAGGAACAGGTATGACTAATGTTTTAAATACATTCACTTTATAATCCACAGGGTTCTTATACAGATGGAATAGGAGGAAATTTCATTCAAGCCCTTTATTCAAATAGTTTTCACTTGTTTACTTTCTCTTTAAAAGGATGGAGTAAGAAATCCATAGGGGTAAATATTTTCCTTTCCAGATTTAAAATTCCATCACATTGTCTAAAGCAGGGTTCTTTCAATCAAGTCAGCAAGGTCGGGTATTAGATGAGTGTCTGTTTCAACACACCTCGGGTCATTAACAGGACCCTGGAGAACTTGACTTCATACTGAGGAGTCAACTTAGCCATTTGATTCAGTTGTGAGGAAACCGAGCCGCATCTAATAGGAGCAGACACCAAACCTAAAGGACTGGAATAAAAGATCATTCATTTAAAGGTTAATCTAAAAGGCCAACACTTATCCAGGTTCCAGCCATTTGTTTAATCACCCATCCTCTCTCCATCTTTTGTTCACCCACTATCCTTATATCCATCCATTCATTTTTTTTCCTCTCACCGTCTATCACACTAATGTACATCTATTTCTCCATTAATCTTTCCATGTTATGATGTCCAACATCATAACATGTTATTCTTATTACTAAGGTCCACATTTGTGTGACCACTTTTTTTCCATAATCTTTTTGCTGCCGTAAAAACCAGAATGTCCCCATTGTGGGACAATAAAGGGATTTTCTATTCTATCCATCCACTGGGATCATTTTCCTGCTGCGTTTGCAGGTTCCACATTCATAGCATCCCACTAGCGGATAAAAAAAGAAAATAATAAAACATTTAATATGGCAATCTTGTAAGAACCCTAAATCATAACCTCTTTTCTTCTAAACCAGAGGCCCACTTGACGCAACCAGACTCACCCAGCTCGGACCAGTTCCATGTGGTCACAGTGTCGGACACTGGCCGCAACTGGAGCGACCAAGAGGTGCAAGCTCTCATTCAGGTGTGGTCCGACAAACGAATATGCAAACAGCTGGAAAGCTCGACCAGAAAGCGAGACATCTTCGTCCAAATCTCCAAGAGGCTCATGCAGCAAGGCATCGAGCGGGACTGGAAACAGTGCCACACCAAGTACAAAAACCTCAAGTACCTCTACCGGTCCCTTCAAAGGAGCAAGACTGATGAAGCTGAGCGGAGGCGCCTCATGCGGTTCTATGATGAAGTGGATGCCATCATGACACACACCCCGTTGGTGGCCGCAGAGGCTGTAAATTCGAGCCCGCTCGCTATTTCACAGGCTCGTGAGGAAAACTGCTGGGCTGACGTACATTTGGCCAAGACAAACAGAGGAGAAGCCATGGATGAGGAAACCTGTCATTCTGATTCAGTCCCAATAGCAGTCAACGATGATCTGAGGCTGCAAGGAGTCCAGGAGCATCAGTTGGACCAACATCACACCCCAAACAGTGAGCTAATTATTAAATGTGTATTTACTATGAACTGACCTTTTGTTCTTCAGATTAACATAGAAAGGGTTCTAAACAAACCATAAGCTTGACTAAATCCTTGAGCTGTTACCCTCTGCATCTTTATCTCTCAAGGTTAAAAGTTCAGAACTGTAGTGTTCTAATCAGCAAATGTTCACTATACTCTGACTCTTTAATCTTTAACTTAAAAAATAAAGTCAAAACAAACTAAAGTGTCAAAATAACAAAGATTGATAACAAGAGATTCATGTTTTAAGTATAAATGTTTTGAAAAACTTAAGGTTTAGGCTAGACTGTCAACCTGAAAATCATGAACATGATCATGTTTTTTTCTTGTAAAAAATTAAACTCGTGTTTCTATTCTGACTGTTTTTTTCACCATGATGTTTGCAGGCCCCTCTGAAACTCCAGCCGGGGAGGACGGCAGCTTCTCAGTAAAAAGAGGGAAGAAGAGAAAAGCTGTGGATCAAGGTTTTCTTAAATTCCCTACTCTCTCTTATCGCCCTGTGTGTCACATGATGTCTCCGAATTGAGTTGAAGTCTCATGATTTGCTACAAAGGCTTTAAAAGGATTACAGATACAGAAAGACAGCTATTGCTAGATTTAAACTGAAAACCATGTATAAAGGACATCGCTGCATGCTGATTGTGTTTTTATTTTTTTTACTTCCAGACTGCAGCTACCAGAAAGCAGCTAAACAACTAAATGCAGGCCGTGAGTCTGTCACTGTGGCGGAGGCTCATTGCAAAGAGGAGCAGGAACATGTCCCCATAATAAAGATCAAATCGGTGTGCTCCATGGCCCAATCTAATTCATCCCCAAAAACGAAGGTAACATCTTTGAAATTAGGGTTACTTACAGTAAAATAAAATCTATACGGCTAAGACAGCCTGATATAGAACATATTTTTAATCATAGTGAAATTCTTCAGACTGCATGTATGTTTTTCATAAAAGAAAAAAAAAAACAGAAATGCTGCACATCTTATCACACTCTTCATGTTTGTTACCCGTTTGTGCAAAACAAACCACCATTGTGTCATTTCTAAAATGCATAGCTGGTTAATAAAGTAAGGATTTCCACTACAGGATTCACTACAGAAATTGTGAAAAGTAGACTGGAACAACAAAGTCAATTAATCAGATAGATAGATGGACATAGAAATGAACAAGTATGAAGATAAAATAAAAACTAAGGACGAAAGTAAGGAATATTTTTAACTGATCAATTGTCTTGAGTGACGTCATCAGAGGCGCCTATGTGTTTTTTGGGAGGCAGGTTTTATTTTAAATAATAATTTCCCAGCCAAATAGCAAGCTTAACATATGTTGATATATGGGGGTGATTTTATGAAAGTGAGTAATTTTACGGGATTTTTAAAGTAAAGTATTTTTATATGTTTTTTTTATAAACGTCACAGTGAATTGACTTCATTGAAAAGTTTCAAAAGTAAAAAAAAATTTTTTTTTTTCAACGAACACCGAAAGACAAATGTGACCATGCAGACTTAATTTCTTCCCCTTCAATCCTGAACTTGACAGTTCAGAAAATCCTCGCTCGATAGGCAAAATGATCAGTTATCCACGAAACCTTGATCACACTAACCTGTGCTGTAAAGCCACCAGTCCCAGAGTGAGCACCTGAGCCACTTCCAGCTGCGTGGGCCACTCTCCGGCGGCCACGCATCCGAAAACCCCGCACTCCTCGCCAATTCCGGACTCCTCAAACTCCATGCTGCC